GAGGCGGAGCCGGCGCGCGGCGGCGGCGGAGGGCCGCTGGGCGTGGGCGCGTGGCCGCCGGAGCTTCTTGAAGCTGCTCAGGCGGCCGGGCTTACCTTGCCGCCGGGAGCGGGCAGGGTCAGTGGTGGCGGCGGAGGCGGCGGAGGCGGAGGCGGTGGCCACCCGCATGGGGGCCCCCCGGGGGGGCACAGGATCGGTGGAGGGGCCAGGGCCGGCGGTACTATTCTACGGATGGTGAGCAGCGGCCCGTCATTATTGACTAGGGCTGGCCCCGCCTTGGGGCGTTGATGTGCTTCCTCGTGTCATGTCGTGAAGGTTGCAGGGGTGGCCGGTGATGTACGGTACATGGCTTGCGGTTTTTGGGGGAGTTCGTTTTGTTCCACAACGGTGTAGGTTGAGTCGAAATTTGTTTGACTTCCCGGCAGGGTAACAGCCTTGTTTTTGCGGAAGAAACGTGAGATGAATGGTCACATGAAGTCCCAGGTGTTTTGTTAACAACGCCGGGAGACTGCCTGAGTGCGCGATGCATAGTTTGTTTTTTTTGCGTCGTTTTTTACTGGCGGGGGAAGTGCATTTGAAACCGCTGCAGCCCAAATCGACCCCCGCCGCCCCCCCACACCGCGCCTTTCGTTCCCCTTGGCCGACCGCAGACAATCCCGGGGATGGTGGACGAGGACTCCCCCGCGGGGCCGGGGGTCCGGATCCAGCTCATGTCCACGCGCAGAGAGATGCCCCCTCCGCCTTCGTCATCGGCGGCGGCGGCTTCGGCGGCGGCGGCGGCGGCTTCGGCGGCGGCGGCGGCGGGGGGGGGGTCGGGCTCGCAGCAGCCGCAGCAGCAGGTCGTCTTGCGTCGCAGGGCCAAGGGAGGCAGGGGGGGGGGGGTCTAGCTGCGCGCCGACCGGTGGCGGCGGGCGGTCTCGCTCAGCGTCGGCCCTTGCCTGCGCCGCCTGGTACAGCTGGTGGTGGAGCTTCGGCAGCGGCGGCCGGCCGCCCCAACGGCAGGGGCAACAAGGCACCGGCTAATGCGGCGGCGGCGGCGGCGGCGGCGGGCGCAGCAACGTCTTCTTCGACCCCCCGCGCGGCCGCGGCAAAGGCCGGCACCGCTGCTGCAAAAGCTGCAAAAGCTGCAAAAGCTGCTGGTGCGACTACCGGTAGCAGCGGTGGCGCGGGAAGCAGTACCAAGGGGCCTCGAAGTCGTCGCATTGTCCGCGGCAGCAGGACTCCTTCTTCTTCTTCTTTCGGCACCGGCAGCGCGGGGGCGGCGGTAGGCGGGGGTTCTCGGCCGGTGGCCCGGGGACGGCGGAGCGGGACTACCGGAGAAGGTGCCGGTTCGGCAACGGCCGGTCACGTATCATCGTCGTCGTCGTCCTCAAAGAGAAAGCGAGGAGAAGATTCTGGCGCCGCCGGAGGGGGAAGGGGATCAAGCACCGTCGCTACTAGCGCGGACGAAGCCGCGACACGGGCGGCGGCAGCGCCTGCGGCGGCGACGCAAGGAAGGACGTTGCGGGCCAGAAGAACTCGTTCCTCGTCCACCTCGGCTTCGTCGTCGTCGGCAGCTGCTGCGGCAGCGGCGGGTACAGCGGCGACGTCGTCGAGGGGGCGGGTCTCGACTCGACGGGGTGTGGCCGCCGCTGCTACTATCGGAATGGCCGCTCCCGCCCCCCCTGTCGCCGCTCCTTCTTCTTCTACCGCGTCGACACGCAAGGCTTCGTCGTCGTCTCCGAGAGGTAGCGGTAGCGGTAGCGGTAGCGGTAGCAGCAGCAGCGGCGGGGGGGGGCGCAGGAAGTCCTACGCCGCTCCGTCGCCGCCGCCTTCGGCGGCGGCAGCGGTGGCTTCTGCGAGCACCGCCGCTGAAGCGGCGAAAGGCGGGGGCGTGGCAGCGCGGGCGTCATCATCATCATCGTCGTCGCACAAGAGGCGGCGAGTCTCGTCCCCGCCGTCGACGTCCGCCGCAGCGGAAGGCGCGGCGGCGGCGGGCAGCGGGAGGTCGAAGCGAACAACGGGGACGGCGACTGCGGGGGCGACGGGGGTGGTCCGCGGCGGCGGCGGCGGCGGCGGCGGCGGCGGTAGGCCAAGGACAGGCGCCCTACGCGTAACTGCCTCTTCGGCGTCGGCGTCACCTTCACCGTCAATTTCCGCCGCCGCCGCCGCCGCAGCAGATGCAGCGGTGCCGACCGCTAAAACGAGAGGAAGTGGCAGCGGCCGCAGGGTGGCTGATGCGGGAGAGACGCAGGGTGAAACATGCGGCTGACGCAGGCAACCTCAGGCAGGCCAGCCAGAGGCGAGCAAGCAGAGGCAGAGCAGCAGAGGCAGAAAGGCGGAGGCAAGTCCGAGTCCGAGTCCGAAAGAGAAACAGT